CCCCCCCGCAGCCTTTGTCACAACTAGGTGAGAAAATGGTGACAGGTGGCCGAGCACACCAGCAATGCTCTGGGCAGCTTCCTGCAGGTTCTCTCCTGTGACGTTGGGCAGGCAGGTGAACAGAGGCTTGGAGACAATGACCTTGACCTTGAACTGGGCAGCCATGTGGAGGTCTTGGGAGAAGGTGCCTTGAGCAGCCAGATTTGGGGTGGAAGGCAGAAGAGTTGCTCTTCCAGTCCCCCCTTTCCTGAATACCCTGGTGCCCCCTCCCTCAGCATGGGCCAGTGGGGAGTTGGATCTGAGGAGGCTGGGTCTGGAACCCCCGATCCACTCGGGAGTTGCCCTCAGTAGTGTTCTTGGCAGCCCACCCTCCTGTTATCAGGAGATGGGGGCACCTGGGGGCTGCAGATGTCCCAGGCTACAGAGACCACATCCCTCCTGCCCTGGTGTCCATCTAGGACACTTGGATGAGCACTTGGGCCCCTTGATGCCTCCCAGAAGCTGGGTCACCCCAGGGCAGGGTCCCTACTAGATGTTTCCTGTGCAGATCAGGTGGGAAGGGGAGAGACTAGGGGAGGGGGAGAGTAGCAGAGGGGACAGCATGGGGAGGGTTGTCCGCAGCAAGAAAACCTGCCTCAACACTACCCTCCAGAAGCTGAGGCTGAGGGTGGGGATGACAGGAAAGGGAGGTGCCGAGGCTCTGTGCCCTGCCTTGGCCACTGTTCCCTGCCAGGCACACCCTCCCCTCCTTCCCACTAGCTGATTCCAGATCCCCTCCTGTATGAAGCCGCTTCTGGCACTCCCAGAGTCTGTACTGGCTGTCCCACACCTTGGCAAGCTTGAGCTCTGCAGAAATTCGGTCTCTCCTGCACACCCTTGTGACTTCTTTGGTCATTTGGTGGTGCAACTCTTTATTTTTCCTAAGTTGTTTTAATCTTCTCCACTGAGTGATAAGCTTGAGAGGAGAGACAGCTTTATCACTTCTTTACACCCCTGTGCCTGGCACCGTGAGCCCTCTGGATGGCACACACCCTCCTTTTCAGCTTGGGATGATACTGGTGAAAGCCAGGCTTTGGAGTCAGACAAACTTGAATTCACATTTTGGTTCTGCTATTTACTAGCTATATGGCTTTGGCCAATTTATTTATCCTCTCTGACTGTGAGTTTCCTCATCTGAAAAATGGGGACCATAACACTATTTGCAAGGAGAGAACTAAATGAGATCACATAAAAGAAGCCCAGCACTTAGCACATAGATAGCTAGCCAATAAATGGTAGTTATCATCATACTTAGCATTATGTTGGCTGTGGTAGGCCTAGAAGAAATTATGGCCAAGGATGCAGGATGGGGTGGGAAAAAGGGTGGGGACCAGATGGGACCCCTTAGGGCTGGAGCCGCTGCAGAGGGCAGACCTAGCAGCAGGCTAGGCCATGCCCTCCACAGGCTGCCTGCGGTTACCATACTAGCTGGCTGAGAACCACCACCCACCCTGGCCCGCCCAGCCCAGACTCACGTCCCGCAGGTTGAAGGTGACCTCCAGCTTACTCCAGAAGCTGTCCGCGAAGGCAGGGTACATGTCCAGCACCTCCAGCAGGTCTGCCCGCTGGATCTTGTGCAGGTCGCAGTAGGTCAGGGCCCGCACATCTGCACTGGACTTGCCCGGCCGGGCATGGAGGCTAACAGGCTCGCCAAAGATGTCATTCTTCCCTGCCAGCCAGAGGGGTCAGGGTTCCTCCAGGGTCTGGCTCCAAGCTCCCTTATGAGGAGCCTCCCTAAGGGTCCTTGACCACGAACTATCCCCCAATCCCCTTAGGACCCTGTCAGGCTGGGGTCTGGTGTTCAGGATCAAGCTCTGGGGACAGGACTGGATGTGCTGGCTGCAGGAGAGGAGGCAAGGTGGAGGGAGTCCTCCCCCTGTCCTCTGAGCTCCACAGAGATCCATTCAGAGCCACTCCTGTCCCCAGCATGTGGGTCCAGGCCCCTCAGAACCACCCTCCACGTCACATCCCCCCTCCTTTGCTCACATTCTTTGGCACCGTCCCCATTCCCACCCAGGGGACAGTAGGCGGGAAGGGACACTGAAGTCTCCCTGCTCACCTCTTCCTGCACTTTTCAGCCTGCTTTTGGAGCAGCGTACAGGGAACCCAGGGCCAGGAATAGGCGGGAAGGGACACTGAAGTCTCCCTGCTCAACCTCTTCCTGCACTTTTCAGCCTGCTTTTGGAGCAGCGTACAGGGAACCCAGGGCCAGGAACACCTGGATCCCCTAGGGCAGGGCCTGAGGCCTCTATCTCTTTGTCTTCCCGTTCCCCATTGTGGAGCCAGATAACTAGCATGGCCCTGGCAGGGGAAGCCTGGGGAAGTCACTCCCTCTCTCTGGATCTCAGTGTTTTCACCTCTAAAATGGATGTCACCCTATCTGTCTTGCCTACCCTACTGGGCTGTTCAGAGAAGCAGATAAGGTGATCCTTGAGAAAGTGCCTCAAAGGCCAGCCAGTTAGCATAGTTGGTTAGAATGTGGTGTTATGACACTAAGGTCAAGGGTTCGGATCCTTGTACCAGCCAGCCACCAAAAAAAGAAGAAGAAGAAGAAGAAAAGTGCCTTGAAAAGCCAGAGGTACCACATTTCAATGCAGGGCACTGGGAAGATGGATGTCACAGGGTAGACGTGGGTGGATACTCAGGGTGTGAAGCCAGGATATTGGGCCCTCCTGGTGCCAGGTGCTGTGTTAACCACAGGATAGAAAACATGAATAAGATGCTATTCTACCCACAAGGAGCCCCCCAAATCCCTGCAAGATAGGCATATAAGCAGCCAACAAGTTTACAGCATGATCTATAGAACAGGGGAGAACCAGGAGATATGGGGCTATGGAGGAGGGAGGGCCTCCTTCTGCCAGGGTGGTTGGGGCAGGGAGTGGGGGGCTTACAGAGGAAGTGAAATGGAGGCTGTGTCAAGAGACTCAAGGAGAACTGGGCCTCCAGGAGAAAGGCAGTCTGGGCAGAAGAAACAGCATGTGGCCAGTGCTGGAGAACCTAGAGCCAGCGTGCCATGGACCATGATTGTTTTGACTCCTGCCCTCCACGGGAAAGTGCAGCCCCCTCAGCCTGGCAACACTGCACAAGGGGCACTGATGGCTTAGCACAGACAGAGGGATCGATGGAGGCCAGAACATGCTCCCCAAGAGAGCATGATCAGAGGTCATTCACAGAGGTGGGGACTGAGGCATAGAGAGCAAAGGGACTTGCCAGGGTCACCCCTGAAAGCTTGAAGCCTGAAATCTGGGCAGCATTATACGTGATGGTTTTCCAGTAGATGAAGGATTATGAGCTAATGTCTATTTATACCCAGGACAAAATGAGAGGATTTCATGTCTCTAACTGAACCTCAAATTGGACTAGCTTCTTAATTATTAATAATTATTATCCCTCCCACATGGATGGCACTTCCAAGGTAGGCTGGGAGGGAGGGAAGGTCTCCTAGAGGAGCCTGTGTTTAAGCCAGCCTTGAAGGGTGACTGGGGCCTGTCAGACAGAGGTGCAGGGTGGGGCACTCCAAACAGAGTGGCTGCACATGCAAAGTTACAGAGGTGTGACAGAGATGGGCAGATTTAGAGAACTATTAAAAGTTTGTATGGCTGGAGCATGAAGTACCAGGGAAGGGTGGCATGATTTAGGGTGGCCAGACTGGGGAGTGCTATGGTCTGAATGTTTGTCCCCTCTAAAGCTTATGTGGAAACTTAATTGCCAATATGGTATTTGAAAGGTGGGACTTTTAGGAGGTGATTGGATCATGAGGACTATGCTCTCATAAATGTATTAATCCATTTATGGAGTAATGGGTTAATGATTTAATGAGTTATCATGGGGGTGGACTGGTGGCTTTCTAAGGACAGCAAGTGAGCATGTTAACAAGCACTCTCACCCAGGCTTTGCCATGGGGTACCCTGCATCACCATGGGACTCTGTAGAGTTCCCACCAAGAAGACCCTCAATAGATGTGTTCACTGGACCTTGGACTTCCCAGCCTCCAAAACTGTAAGAAATAAATTCTGTTTCTTTACAAATGATCTGGTTTCAGGTATTCTGTTACAGAAAACGGACTAATCAGGGAGAAATGTGCAGGCCACACACAGGCGTTTACATTTGTCCCATGGGTCAAGGGAAGCCATCAAAGGATTTTGAGCAGAAGAGGAGTATGCACAGATGTGAACTTCAGGTCACTGGCAGAAGGTGGAAGATTGGAGCATGGAAGTAGACCAGATGCAGGGCTGCGGGAAAGGAGCTTCTGACACCTGCTCGGGAAGGACATGATGAGGGCTAGAGCCAGACAGGGGCAGGGAGACAGTGTGGGACAGAGACGTATCAATGAGGGAAACAGAGAAGGGTTCTGCAGCTGACTGGATGGATGCTGGGTGGCAGGGCAGGAAGGGAGAAGGACGCTCCCTTGGCTGACTCCAGCCCAGGCGATGGTGTGTAGTGCCCAGGGATGGGGATGCTGGAAAGAGCTGCTTTTGAGGGAAGGTGACGGTTTCGGGTTGGGATATGTCAAGTTTGGTCTGACTATGGAACGTCAGGAAGAAATGGAGTACTTCTGTCTAAGAAGAGATTGGGGCCAGAACTGAGCTCTGGGGGTCCTTGTGGCACAGGTGGAGGCTGAGGCTGTGGGAGCAAGGAGCTGGCCCAGGTGAGGGTGTAGGGTGAGGAGAAGAGAGCAGAGCACCAGCACGTGGTCACCACCAACCAAGGGCAGGCCAGAGAGAGAGGAGTGGGCAAAGGAGTCTGAGGGAGACCTGTCTAGAGGGGGTGGAGGAAAACCAGGTCACGGAGACCGAGGAGAGTAAGGCTGAGAATCGAGGAGAGGACTCTGTGATGCTTAGAGAGGTAAAGTGACTTGCCCAAGGTCACACAGCAGGTAAGTGGCAGAGGCTGCTTGTGACCCAAGGCTGTACGCCTGCTCAGTGCTCACATACTTCCTCCAAAGAGTCCAGCTATCCCTGCAGCTGCACTGAATGAAACTGGGGTACCCAGTCAGGGCACCCCCCTCCACTCAAGACAGACCCGTGGACTATCACCCTGAACTCCACAAGAGTGTCAGAAGGTAGGAAAGAGCCTGCCTGGACCTCTGAGTCAGACACACAGCCCTGAAATCCCTGTTTGGCCACAGCAGGAAAATGGGCCGACGCATGTCTATTATGGCAGAGGGTTTGTTTAAGGATTCAGTGAGCTGGAGGAAAAGCTCTCCGCGGCACATGCTCGGCATATGGCTGGTCAGTAAAAGGTGCCGCGATCCTCACTGGCAAGAGGATGGTCCAGGCAGAGCATCTCCAGCCCTCCCCATCCCCCATCCCTCAATACGAGCCCGGTCCACCCCGCCTGACCCACCTAGAATGGCCACGACCACGTCGTCGCGCAGAATCTCGATGGAGCCGCGGGAGATGAAGTAGAGCGTGGAGAGCACGTCGCCGAGGTGCACCAGCGTGTCCCCAGGCGGCGCGTGCGTGGTCTTGAACTTGACGGAGAGCGCGCGCAGGCAGCCCTTGCTGGCGCCGCTGAAGGCCGGGCAGTGCTGCAGCAGCGCGCGGTGCAGGTGCATGCAGATGTCGGCCTGCAGGCACTCGGGGAAGCCCTTCAGCACCTGCGAGGCGGGCGGGCGGCCGAGTCCAGCGGGGTGCGGCCGGGGGTG